ATCAGCTGTACATCTTCCCTTTATATCTTGTGTGTCAACAAGTGCAGGGCACTGAAGAAGCTCTTTGCCTTGGAGGAACTTACAGCCTACATCTAAAGGACAACTAAATGTTACTCTGTGAGTTTATTAGGGTTAGGAACTCACTATTCCTTAGCAGTAGGTTGCAGTATGTGGGTAGATAGCAGGTGTGTGTGTTGGCTCCTGCCATGCTGCAGGAAAAGGGAATATACCATTGGTTTTGCCCTCTTTACTGGGAGTTTCCCATGTAGGATCTGCTTGTATGAACCTGCACATATCTGCTTCCTAACTCAGTCCTTAAAATATTATCCCTCTTAGCTTAAACACTTCAGGTAGCTGAAGTTTTTCTAAAATTATTTTATCAAGCAGTTGGGCTGGGGGGAGAATACACATGCAGTTATGTTGGCAGACTGGAAAATGAGTAAAATTTCTGTAGAAGATAAGAGCTGTGTTAGGTGACTGGGACTAGAAGCCTCTTTATTTGCCCACTGTCACCAAAACTCCATCTCTAACCACCAGTCAGTTATTGGTGCCCATTGGGTGGATAAAGCTTGATTTCATTATCACACTTGAGACCAGGATTGGATCAGGGTCCGGCTGAGAGAGGAGTGTAGTGCATGTGGATAGGCAAGAGCTGGCAACAGATGGTATCATAGTGGGAAGAAAGAAACAGCTCATCAGCTGGCAGTGTTTCTACTGCATTTTGTCAATTATTTGTTTTTCTTCAGGGAAGAATTCAGTGTTTGGTTAAGTTTTGCTGTTATTTTTTTATAGTCATTGATCCTAAGAAATCATCTTGTCTACTCTGAATTTAGTATTCCTTTAATTTAAGGCCATTTTATATCCTAAGTAGTATGATTAGTGTTCACATTTTAGGACTGTATTTTCTTAATCAAAAAAAACCCTCAAGTTACACGTAAATATTTTGGCAAAGAGTTCTCCAAAACTGTGAGAAGAATATTCATCTTTGTGGCAGATGGTTCTACAGTAATTGCTGATTCATAGTCTTTTGAAAAAGGAAGTAAGCTACTCATGAGTTTATGGACTGAGCATTTTGACTAAATTGTTTATATCAGCATATGGCTTTTGCAGTAAGCTTACAGTTAGAAAGTACTGCTTATATTTTATAAGTGGGATTGACTTAATTTAGTGATTGCACAGATGAAAAGGATTCATACGTTAGTTTTTCATTCAGTAAGTATTTTTTAAGTTTTGTTAAACAAGAAGATAGTTTTATTATTCATTGCTGTTTTTCTTAAGCAAAACCCTAAAATGTTTAAAACCAAGCATTAGCTTATTTTGTAGGGCATTTACAGTGTAGTTTTCAGAAGAGATGGGTTTCTCATAGACTAATTTTTTTTTTAAATTTCTTGCTATAGATTTGAATTTTCATTAACTTGTGGATGTATAGTAGTGATTCTTAAGCTTTAAAATTTTAATTTGTTTTTACATCTATTTAATTTAAAAAATATGAGTAGCTGCCTGTGAGAAGGACGACTGCTTTCTTGAAGGGATAATTTAACTAGTTATGTATAAACATTTATTCCATGGTTATCACCATAGTAACTGAGGCCTCAAGTCAGTGTGCTTTGCTGAGCAGGGTTGCAAATGCTGTAGTGAGCCAGGGCCTGAACTTCTGCATGAAAATACAGTTTCACATTTCGTTGAGGCACAGCTAATCCCTGCTACACCTTTTTGACCTTGTGCCATTATTTCTATTCCCCGGGCTGCAATCATGGCAGAATCCTGGGAGTTAATGTGTCTGAAAATTAACCTCCCTGGAAATTAGTGTGCACCAAATCATCCTTCTGATCTGCTCAAGCATGTGATTGTATGGCCACTAGTGAGGCACTGGGGAGAGTCAGGAACATGTGATAAGTATGGAGAGACAGCTACAAATTAAGCTGATTACAAAGCTGCCCTGGAGGCCACTTGTTTAGGGCCTGACTATGCTGTAGCTGAAATTGTTGAAAAATTGTTGGGTTGGGAGTTAAGCCAGTTTAAGTGAGGAAATTGTCTAACGGATATTAACTTGAAGTGCTTTGGAAGACTTTGGAAGTATATCCCTGAGCCAAGTATCTACTTGGTGCTGTTTTGAGAATGGAAGATGCTGTCAGGATTGACTTGTGGTGTCTCTTCCATATGCTGACCTCTGACAGCTGGCCAGAGAATTTCTTCAGAATGTTCACTTCAGAGATTCTGTTGCAATTAACTTAATTGCATCTCTTTATTTTCATCTTCTTTTTATATGTACCTAGACAATTGCTGTCAGAGAAACTTCATCTTTTTACTTCAGCTTTCATTTTAAAAGCATCAAGAGTAGTACTAGCTACTTCTGTAGCCTGTTTGTAAGTAAATCTCAAATGTATTCATGCTTCTGATCCTCCCTCCATCTTATAAAATATGGCAATGTGTTTTGTAACTACAAAGCTTTAGAAACTCAGACTTTAAAACTCAGACTTTAAAACATTTATCCTAAAAACTTGATGAAGGCATTTAATTTTTATCTATTACATTAACCAGGCCATCATTTTGAGCCTTAAAAAATATGCTGCCATTGTATTTTTCCAGTGCACTTTAGATCATCACTTCTCCATCCAAGGTCCTGATCCCATGGGGACTTGCACACTTGTTTAACAACGCGTGTTTCAAACAATACTACTGATTTATTACTCTTCATTTGCTGTTACCTGATTTGGAGACAATCAGCTCCTGGGGCATCAGCATTAATTCTGCAGTATTTGCAAACAGAGAAATGATTTGCAGGTGTAGCACTGTACAGCGGGTAAGCACACTTGCAAACAGCAGTGTGAAGTGTGATATTGTATAGCCATTTATAGCCTGAGTTTTTAAGAGCTGTAACTCTGCTTTTGGCTTGGCTAACTTCCATGGCTGTTGTAGATTACATTTGCAATCAAGTTGTTGCCAAACTTCCACTCAATGTTGAGGTCATGTTTACTACTGCGCAGCTGCATAGTGAAGAGCTATTGAAAAACAAAATAAACTTAGGACTGTGTGAGGAGCAGCTCTCTATGGGACTAGAGAGCAAGTGGATGTTGGGCAAAAGCTCAAATTGACTGGAGACCAAAGCCAAATATTTTTGGCAGCATTTAAATTTTACCGTTTCATTATAGCTGATGTGTTCTTGACTGCAGCTCTAATAAAAACAACTTGTGCATGTTCTGAGTACTGTTTAAAAAGAACATAGATGTAAGAAAACTGGAGTCTGCTGCTGTCCATATGTGGTGTTGGAATGGTGCAAGGTTTTCATCTATCAGCCAGAGTGAGGAGCCTCCTAAAAACCCCATGCACATTAAATTTCTGGCACTGCTCATGAAAAGAATGCTGCTAGAACTCTTGAGGACCTGGCTAAAGGCTAAATGTGGTCCTCCCAGATGAGGGTTTCAGTATACTACAAATGAGCTGCGATGGAGCTTTCATTATGACTTAGCTCTTCAGGGTAAGACACCCACACCTATAGCCCTCTTTTTTGTTTTAAATTTGTGTAGATAGATTCATTTTTTTCTGGTGTGAATGCCAGTTTTTGAGCTTTAAAAAACCCAAAAACCATAGGTGGGGAAGGGCTACCACTGACATTTTGACAAGCCTTTTTTAGCTAGCTTTAAGTAATGAGGTATATGCAGTGATGATCAGCTGCATTTGACAAGCAAAATTCTCCAAAATACTACATTTTCTGTGTAAAAACAGACCACAGAGCAGAGGAGAAGGAGTTTTGTAGTATCTTTATATGAGGAAAGAGATAGGTTTATATCTTTTGTTAAACACCAAAAATCCATAGAGGACCAACACCTTATTGTCCCACTGGTATGAAAGCTTCAGCTGGAATTCTCAACTTTTTAAAGACTAGTCAATCAAATACAGAATATTAGTGTGCAGGAAACCAAATTTCTTTATTTCTGGTGTTATAAACATATATTTTTTTCTTTTTCTGAAAAGTTGATTTTGAAGCTGGTATTTGGGGATATGATCATACTATCTTTGTGAGGTATTGCAAATACATATGCAAAAGTTCATAGAACACTATTAGGATTGGAAATGTAATTGAGTTTTGGCCTGACTCAGTATGGGTTGTGTGCTCTCAAATCTCAGTGAATCTGGGTGGGGCCTGAAACATTTTTCTCATACCTGGAGTAAATTCTTTTTTCTATTGTCAATTTTTGCTGATCTGTTTTTGTTTTAGTATTATTTCTCTTTATAGACACGATGAAAACTAATTTGAAATAATTCTTATTCTTATTGTGATGGCTTTACTCTGGCTGAACACCAGGTGCCCACCAAAAGTTTATTTGCAGCCATCCTCATTTGGACAGAGGAGAGAAAAATATAACCAAAGGCTCATGGATTGCAGTAAGGGCAGAAAGAGATCACTCACCAGTTACTGCCACAGGGAAAAAGATTCAGCTTGGGAAAACCAATTTAATTTATTAGCAATTGAATCAGAGTAGGATGATGAGAAATAAAAAATCTTAAAACACCTTCCCACACACACTCCTTTTTTCCAGGCTTAACTTTTCTCACAAACTCCCAAAATGCATGCAGTTTTGCAGTCTCCTGCTCTTATTTGCTGTACTCAAAGTATTGAAAGTATGAACACTTTTGTGTCCATTGCTATTTCACAGATACAAATTACTCAGAAATGGCAGTGCGTCACATAGACTGTTATAAGTCTCTTTTATCAGACAGGCCAAATACCTTAAGGAAAGCCATTTTGGATTGTAAAACTTTTAAAATTATTTCATTAATTCAGTGAAGCTGAGTGTATGTTGCAATAATATCCAGGGATCATGAGTATTTCATTTTCCACAGAAGTGAGCTTCCAAAACAATGTGTTTGTTTTGCTTCTGAGCTGGAGGCGCTGTAGTTGCCCAAGTTCAGGTTTCACCTTCAAAGAGAAATCTAACTGAAGCAGAAGAGTCCTCGTAACCATTTTGTTTTTCTGTGCTTGCTTCTTTTTTTGCCAGGCACTCGTGTCCTCTGTAGACTGTGGTTCAACTCTCCAGTCAAAATCCTGGTATGCCTCCTATGCAAGAGTAGCACAAAAAGGAACCATACTGGAATAAAAGATCTGGGACCCGTTAATGTTCAGGTTTAAGTAGATATGTAGTTTAGAAAGGATTGTACCCTACAGTTTATTTTCACTAATTTAGAATAAGAAAGGATTGAGGGAAATAAAATCTTAGAGAGCCAAATGATTATTTTAACCCTTCCTCTTGTTAGAAAGTAATACTTTGAATGAAAAAAATATCACACTTGATGTAGATCATTTATGTCTATAAGCCATAGTAACTTTACAGGTATGATAGAGATAAGTAGTTTATATAATTTACTTAGTTATATACAGTCTTAGTTATGAAATACTACTTACAGAGCTCTTTAAATCAAAAAAGGTTTTCACAGAAAAAAAAAATTTATGTCACAAAATTTCTGCCTTCTAGATCAAACAAATTAAGCATCCCGAAATTCCAGTTGACTCTTTGTGTGTGTATATATATTTCATTTTCATTAGATCTGCTTGAAAATGAAAAAGGTTTTTAGTTAAGGTTTTAGTTGGCATGTGTTTTTCCAGTCCTTATTTGAAAAGTAATTTTTGAAGAATCTTTAGTATCAGGTAATGCTTTAAATAGCAAGAGACAATTTTCCTTTTTCAGAATGCTCCAAATTTTTTTCTGTTTCTTACAGCTTCTAATGTTCTTTTTTCTTTCAAGTCAAGTAAAGGATGTAAATGCTTAGCAACTCTGAAATTCAAACTACATATCTGGGTATCTAGTTTTGGTTAAAACATTGTGGATCAGTTTATAATATTGGAACTTACATGAAACCAAGTAATTCTTGTTTCCCAGGCAAGTTCTAATTAGCTACCTTATATTCTGTCCTTGGGCTTTTTATCTTAGAGTAGACTTCAGCATTTTGTGTTTCTCAGTTGCAGTTTCAAGTTGTAAAACAATGACTGTTTTCAGAATCTTTAAAAACTCCATAATTTCTTTTCAAATGCAAGGAAAAAAAAAAACCAAACCAAAAAAAAACCCCACCACAAACAATCAAAACCCCTACTTAAAGAAATTGAACAGAAGTCATAGAATGAATGTAATTATTGCCATTAAGTGACTGCAAGTCCTAGTGGGAATCTTGATGTCAAGTTCACTTTAAGTCCTTGCAGTCACAGTAAGTCAAGTGAGTGCTGATACACAGTGTCCCTCAGTAAAGATTTTTACTGGATCTAAGGAGATTTTCCAAGATGACCTTGGCTACCTTTCAAAATGTATCACTGAGGATGCTCTTTAATCTGCTTTCTATGTCCAAGCTTTATCTGTATTCAGCCTGAACTTTGAAAAGACTCTTCAGACATTTCATTGTATGGAACATCAGCAACAGATGTAATTATGATGACAAAAAAGGGACAGCTAAGGTGGCTTTACACAGCTGTCCCTTTTCCCTCTGGGACTTATTAATGTTAAACAAACAAGATTCTGATTGCCTTGCAGACTCTTTTCAAACTATGCTATCTGGTTTGTTTTGTTTCATTATTTTATTTTATTTTTTTAGATTTACATTTACCATATAGCATGATAATTTTTCAGGGTTAATTACTGGTGAATAGGAACAGTTTTGTTCTGAAAAATTTCCTCAAGAGTGTGATCTGATGTGGTCTGCATATTGCAGATATTTTAGATAAGGGTTTGATTAATGAAAATTTAACATTACAAAGTTATCAGTCAGAACTGGCTTTTCTGACTTGACCTTTAGCCTTCTGTGGAGCTGACCACAACTTGCAGCTGAATCTGTTTTTACTAGGTGTTGATTATGTGTAAGCCAAAACATAGCCTGCATGATTATATCATAGTTGGCTTTGAAATAGTAGCAAGCATTTGAAGACAAGGAAGATTTGTAATATTGTTTTTCACTAATTTCTTCAATAGGAGGAAGGGGTTCTGAGCAGCATGGAAGACCTTTGGAGCAGAAGTTGTATTTTGTCTTACCTTTTCTACTGCATTTTGCTCCACACAGTTTTGATCTGGGATTAGATCTGTGTGTATAGATCTGTAAATATACAGCACTTGCTTATTCAGGGCAGAATGGTTTCTTGAAGTTCCTGCAAACCTGGAAACAGGGTGGGTATGCTGTCTCTAGTTCTCTGAATGTGCAAACCCATAATACACTCTTCAACACAGAAAATGATGCCCAGGCTTATCACCCATCACATATGTTTCCCCTGATATTTTGCAGTTTGATACTACAACAGGCCTCAAGGACTCCTTGTCCCCTTTGTGTACGTGTGTTATTCCCAGTGCCAATGATAGGAGTTAGCTATACACATCAGAAGTAGGATTTACCCACTGGACGAAACTTAGACAGCAGAGAATATGAAACTCTCTCATCTCTAAAACTGGACAGTTTAAGCATCACTCTTACGTCTTACTCTTACGCATTTTGTGATTTTTTTTGTTGTTGTTGTTTTGGTGGTTTTTTTTGGTTTTTTTTGTTGTTTTTTTTTGTTTTGTTGTTGTTGGTGGTGGTGGTGGTTTTTTTTTGCTAAGGAAACAGTTCTGGAAGTAGCAGCTGGGGAATGTGATGATAGCACAGTGTTGCCTTGATGGAAATTGCAGCTCAGAGCTGTTTTTCTGGAAAAAGTAGCCATTGAGGTTGACCCTAGTAAAAACTGACTGTCACTTACTGGCTTCATAAATAGTTGACCAAAGAGAGGATTCCTTCTTTTTGTGTTGTGTAAAATATATTTTCAAGTATTCAAATATTATTTTCAGTCATTAGGCCAGATGTTAAGTTCTCCATATTATTGTGATTTATTGTTCCTCTTATACTACTATCTGCATAGCTGATACCTTTAGCCACATGAGTGATATTTATATACATCAGATACATCTGGATTTAAATGGTGTTGGACTTGATGTCTTGATGTGCTCAGATTTTTCCACTATGTAAGTAATTGCATTAGGGGATAGTAATAGTGTGACATAAACAAGGGTGCAAAAGAGGTTAGCTTGTAAATGCTTGCTCTTTCATTTTATGGGCCTTTTATTTTTCCTTTTTTTCAGTTTTTGAATCTTCTTTGGTAATCCTGTGTGGAAGCTGTCAGGCGTGGGGCACTCCAGCATGTTTAGAGCTCCTACACATTTCCAAATTGAGAACTGCGACAGAGTGTCATCTTAGCAAGAGAAAAGCTCCCTCCTGTGGAAGACATGAACCTCTGCTGTGACAAGGAGCAACCACAAGGGCATCACACCGTGATTTTAAATTAGCAGGAGAAAGGGTTACAAGCACTGTGGGACTTTGAAAATACTGGACTGCAAAACCCTGCTCCCTGTTATTGTTTTTCTCAAAGTAAATTTTTCATGTTTTGTATGATTTATAACTGAGATACAGTTTTAGAAATAACTGTTTGCTGTAAGTAAAACTGCATCATTTAAATACTATAATGTGGCCACTGTGGACTCTGTAGTGTTAAAGGGATCTAAAGCAGCTGATATGTTTTCACATTTTGCTTTCTTTCAGCTCTTTGCTGAAAAAACATAGTGTTTTGGACATTTATATCAATTTGAGTTTGTAGAGCTTACTTTTTAAAAAAGTAGTTTTCATTTCCTTTTTTTTTAAAGTTTGATAATCTGTATATCTAGAAGATCTGTATTAAAATGGTTTTGAATCTTGTGATTGGTGGTCCTTGAGCTCAAAGCCTTGTGTGACTTGGAAAATAAAACAGCATAGGAAGCATAAAGATGAAATTGTGATGGAGGGGCTGGAAGTAGAACTTGATATAAAATTCCTGCTAGAAACAGTATTTTTACCTTTGAGCTGAATATGATTCATGCTTGTGATCTGAAGGTAGAAGGCTCTAGCTCATTAGCACATTAACAAAACCCTGAGGCATTTGCTTCCATAAATGCTAATGTTATTCCCCTGAGAATGAAGCTCTTTTGGGGAGGGGGAGATGGATCTTTAGTATTCCAGTGGAGTTTGAATTTTACCAATTCCAATTCATTGCCAGCTAGAGCGGACTGAGACAGCACTGAGTGCTCTGACCCACTGCAAAAAACTTATTTGGGTATTGGAATCGTGTGCATTGGCCAAATGGTAAATTGTCATCTTGTTCAAAGAGAGCTGGGTTCTAGTTTGTGGCACATAGCAGCATAACTTTGATTACAAAAACATGAGATTAGCAATGGTATGGAATGGTGAAGTGAGATTTGGTTCTGTCTTTAAAACGTTATGGTGTACCTGCTTGTTTTGATAGAGTTTGGAGTCATCTTTGAAGTAGGGAATGGTTTCTGTGTTAAGGTAGTATTATCTTCATTTATGAGAGCTGTTAAGATGTTATAGATTGGGTGAGCAGTCCTAATGATTGTGCTTGCAAAGAAATGCAAGTTCCCAAACTTGTGGGCAAGCAGAGATTCTCATGAGGCCCCATGTAACAAAGGCTCAAGTCAGGGTCATGAGAGATGTTGGCAGAAGTGCCTTATCAGTGAGGTTCAGTGCTGTGTGAGCTCCCTTGGTCCTCTCTGATCTCCTTCTGGACCACAGAGCACTCGCTGGCTGCTGCTCTTCAGGTGCCAGTTTAGATTACAGAAAATCAGCAATAGCAGAGGGGAGTCCCTTTCACACAGAAGTACTTGCACTGGGTTCTGCAAGGCTGGAGTTTGTGTGGGAGGGGAAGTGGTTTGTGCAGCTCAAATGGGGATGGGGAGGCTTTCACATGTGGCTTACAGATCACTAGTGGCTCCTAGGATTGAAAGCTCCTTCCTGGTACATATGAGTCACTGTACCTGGAGGGATTAAGATGTGTGGATGTGGCATTTGGGGACATGGTTCAGCAGTGCACTTGGCAGAGTTAACAATTGGACTCGATGATCTTAAAGGTCTTTTACAACCTAACTAATTATACAGTTCTATATTTCCTGTTAGTAGCTCCATCTACTGAGTGGCTGGAGTATTTCTGATTGCTGCTTTTTTCCGTACAGCAATTTTTGTCTGGTTTCTTAAGAAATTGAAGCTTGTGTTGAGCACACTTTGTCTTGCTCTTCTCCTTCCTCTGCACCCCTCCACCCCCAATATTAAACTTTTTAAATGAAATTCGACTACTGAGTTGCTTTAGTTATGCAATTATGAATCTGAACACAGTACACGGGATGAAATTAGTTTCCCTAATGATAGAGGGGCTGCATCATGAGTTGAACTGTAATGTTATAACACCAGGGAATCCACAGGAGATTGACAGGAAAG